TTATCTCTAAGTGGCTGTTTTGTAGATTGAATATTTCAGCAGGAGAACCAAGGGGGAAACGGCAGATTCCGAATTCCCAAGATTCCCACGGGATTTCCAGGATTCCCACGGGATTCCAGGGATTCTCATGAGATTCTCGGGATTCCCATGAGATTTCCTGAATTCCTATGGGATTCCCGGGATCCCCACCGGATTCCCGAGATTCCCATGGGATTTCCAGGATTCCCGAAGGATTCTCCAAAAAATTTCCGGAATTCCCACCATACTTCCGGGTGTGGGTGTGGGTGGGGTGTGGGCGTGGGTGGGGGTGGGGGTGTGGACATGTGGGTGTGGGTGTGTGGGTGAGTGTGGGATGTGGGTGGGTGTGGGTACGAGGGATTCTCTGTGGTTGTTGATACACAGACAGTTGAGTGCGCTTGTTTGGATGTACATGACTAGGTGTGGTGTTGCCACAGCTCGCTCGCCATAACTACACCCACTCACACCCATCCAGATAACATCACATCCAGATCTACATCCACACACCCGCACCCTGATTGAATGTAAATGTATAGCGGTGAGTGGAATTAGGTATGTGCTGAGCTCGAGCCTAGACCGAGCAGGTGGAGCTCGGCTTTGGCCGAGTCAGATTTGGTCGGACTTAGCCTCAGTCAGGGCTAGAGTCCGTCGAGTCCAGCATTTTTGGACCCGGGCTGGCTTTGTTGAACTTTTCTTGGACCCGTACCCGGTTTTTCAAAAAAAATTTCAGAACAGGATCCGGACCCGGTAAGCAGAAACTTTTTCTACCCGGACCCGGACCCAGTAAATAGAAAATTTTTGGACTCGGATTCTACCCCGACTAGATCGTGTTTGTATCTGAGGCCAAGGAAATGTGTTCTACTGAACACAAACAATTTATTTTGAACACTAACAACCAAAAGCAACTAGCTCTTCAGAGAAAACTGAAGATCGGTAAAACTTCGAAAAATATTCTCATATGCACCAAAAACTGCTTTGGACTCGGACCCGACCCGGACCAGCTTTATAGAAAATATCCAGACCCGGCCCCCATTAAAATTAAGTTTTTGGACCCGGACCCGGTCGGGTTCGGGTCCAACCCGACGGGCTCTAGTCAGAGCCTAAACGAGTCTAACCGAACCAGAGGTACTTGTACTCGGTACATCGATAGGTGGGATTGGATGTTTGAGCTTGGTTTATTAAATATGGGTGTTTGTGTGTGGCTATATTGAGGGTATAGGTGTGAGTATGGGTGTGTGAGAGGGTAGGTGGATGTGGCTCTTATTTTCACCACACCTTACACCTACACCTACACATCCATACCAACCCTGAAAAGGTTTTTGGTTTCACTGCTAAGCATTTTTATTTTACACAAAGGTTTCACACTCGCTGTTAACGATCCACTCATTCTTCTCGATAGGTAAACTTGCGAAACGTGAAAGTATCGTCTTTAGGCCTTATCTTATGGAATAATCAGTGACATTATTTCGATAGTTCGATCTCAATATCGAAAGTCACGAAAAGATCATAAATAGAATATGACACACACGTAGAAAGCTAACTACGTAAAAGGTGGACAAAATTCTACAAGAAAGAACCATTAAATCAATAAAATTGTGTGCGATTCATACAGGTAAATACACTCGATACACTTCTGACTAAGGAAAAATCATCAGTTGATCAGATAAACGAAAGTTCGTGATGAATATCTATTTCATATCTGTCTCGATTCTTTGTAATGAATATTCTAGTCATACTTCCGTTATACTGATGACGTTTAAAAAATTCGAAGATCTGCTTAGAAACTATGGTCGTAACTTACTTACCAGGATGCAATAGTCAAAATAAAATTTTTCAAAAAATTTCAATAATAATAATTTCCAACTTGGTTGAATGTTGAATATGCAAAATGCGACGTTTGTTTGTCGAAGGACTCTTGTGTTACTTGTATAACATAAAAAGGCTTTACTTGTTTTTCTATTTTCTTTCTTCTTTATTCGTTTTTTTAAATTTCTGTCAATCAAGCGCTTTCTTGAGAGGCACTGCTTACGGCGATAGTAAAATACATAATACGAAGAGTAGACAAACAATGACAGCAAACAAAAAAAATATTGGTAAAACGAAATACATTTCAAATGGACCACACACATTGATATTCATTTTTGTATGATGTGAAACTGTTGGCATTGTTGAACAACAGACAATGATAAATGATGATAGACTTTCTTCAGTATCAGATAAAGAAAGGAAATTTACATTAGTATGAACTTGCGACAAGTTCTTAGTAAGATAATATAAAAATTGATAATTTTTAACGTAGTCATGATTAGCTGAATTACATAAAGAATATAGAAAAATTGACATATTCATCTTATTTATTCAATACAAGAAAGAAAACAGTTGAAAAAGGGTATGGGTGTTGGGTGTGGATGGATGAAGAGAAGATACACAAAGCACCCACACTCACATCTACACCGTCATAAAATATTCATAAAATTGACTCATTTATTTGGAAGACAAGCTGAAAAAATCTTTTCTCATATTATTCTCTCAATTTGATAATTTTTTTCTTTTAGAATTTATTACATGGAAATCAACTTTTGAGCAAAGTAATAGTTTAGCATGTGTGAAAAATTATGATTCAAAATGTCAATCTAAAAATGAAACAAAATATTATTATTATTATTATTATTATTATTATTATTATTATTATGGTAATTGAAGATAATTTTTTAAGTAATTTCATATTGAAGATATTTGCTCTTTTATTTGAAAACCTTTGAAAAACATTTTAGATAAACAAACATTATGTTATTAATTGTATATAATCAATCAAAGTTTATGTAGCTAGAAATAATCAAATATTCGTACAGTATTATCTAGTAGATTAGAATCATGCAGACGAACTATTATCAACTACTCATGATAATTCAACTCTAGCAATAACAAATAGTGAATTAGTTGAATAACTATTAATATAAAAATAGCTATTAATCATTGTATTAGACTTCGATATCAACATCATTTAATGATAAGACATGCGAGAATTCTGAAGATTGCTAGAAGAATTTAAGAAATTCGTTAGACTTAATATTGTATAAATGAGTCATACAATTTTTTTCTTAATTCAAAATAATCGATTCAATTAATTCTTTTATTCTTCTCAATTGTTTATTAATAATGTGATTAAGTATATGTCAATAACTGAATAAAGATGGTTATTAGATAGCATATCATTGATTATAAATTATGTCTTAAATATATTAAAGAATATTTGTATTAAATTAAATTAAATTTTAAATAGAATCTTCAAGTATATCGAAGATCTCTAATATGCTAAATTAATAAATTTTTTAAATAATTTTTTAAATTATATAGAATATTATTCTGAGAACATAATCAATATTATTTCGATGGCATATCTAAGAATATTTGAGCACGACCATTCATGAGCAATGTGAATTTACAAAATTAAAAGGCACATGTTTTAAGATAATGAACTGTCTGAGAGCTAAAGGGTGAGCCAAAAGTCTTGGTCGTTCTTAGAAAAATTGTTCGTTCTCCCTTATTACAAATCCAAAAACGCTCAAAATTGGACATCTTATCCCTTGTAACTAGACGAATATTACCCTAAATTTTCAGATCTCTAGTCCTTATTATAGGGGAGATATATAGGTTTGTATGATAGACAAGATTTTTTTCCATGTCCTAAAATCAGAATAGCGAGGGGTTACATAAACAGAATAAAAGAAAAAGTTAAAAAGAAAGACATCAGAATAAGGAAATATTAAGAGAATTATAACGAATCGAATTATACCTTAAGATTAATTAGATGTCTATGGTATATTTATTTAAATATCTTTAACTCTGATTGGATGTTTATTCACATATGACCATTGTCCACCATTCATTTTCGACAAAACTTTTTCAACGATTTCTCATTTTACGATTGTTTAAATACTAATGTTGCGAAAATATATAAAAAATATTAGACAACAAATTTTAACTCCAGCGATGGTGAAAAACAAAATTATAGAGATTTGAAGAACAATCAATCGACAAAAGTGCTCAAAATTGATGAATTCAATACTAAGAAAATTGCTATGTTTAATCAACAGAGAAGGTTACTCAGTCAACAAAAAAAAAGATTGTAATGGTTTATGAAAATGTAAAACTTTCTGTTGTTTGTCATTGTATTAATAGTGAAAATTAATTATTCTAGACATTTCTTTTGGATAAACTTTGTTTTTACTTTTTTGGGACATGAAAAAAAAATCTTCCCTATCATACGAACCTATATATCTCCCCTATAATAAGGACTAGAGATCTGAAAATTTAGGGTAATATTCGTCTAGTTACAAGGGATAAGATGTCCAATTTTGAGCTTTTTTGGAGTTGTAATAAGGGAGAACGAACAATTTTTCTAAGAACGACCAAGACTTTTGGCTCACCCTTTAATTGTTATATGTGTAGTTATTCTAGATACCTTGAAAAAAATTATACCTAAAGGCTTTTTTTTTCGTCAAAATTATCATCTAGAACCTAGCGTGAACAACATGACTCGTAGAAGAATATTTACTTTCATTTCATAAAGTTTAGTTTAAAACAGTTCAAATGACAGCAGCATGTTCGAAAACTAATAATTAATACATTTCTGTAGACAACACTCTTGAGATTAAACAATCTCTATCGAAAGTTTTTCTGAGCGTGCATAGATTTTTCAAAAATTTGGATTTACTTTTCGTTCGCGCAACATAGAAAACTTCGTCAGAATCGATAGATAATGATAAGAGAAACAACTTTTGTTTTGAAATTCGATAGAATGTATAGTAAACCAATTTTGAAGAGGAAAATAATTATCAATTATAATTACACATC